GAGGAATGCTTGAATGCCTGACTGTGACTCTAAACAGCTCAGAAAACAGAAGGTAAATAAACAGAAACCCAAACTTATTATTTCTAGACATCGCTTGATTTTTGAGCCTATCCTGTGATTTTTGTCATTTTAAACTGCTTGGGATTAGCAGTACTGTACTAAGAGGGTGGATCCAGGCAGCCTGGCTATCAAGGTCAGGCAAGAAGCTACCTTAAATTTAGCCCTGGTAGCAGAGAGTAAGTTTCCAGTAATCAAAATGCCTCTGCAATCCTAGCGGAAAGTGTCGACAGTCCCAGATTTCAGACTCAATAGCTATCCGGGGGCGGGACAGGAGCATCAATGTCCGAATCAGCTCTAGCAGACACCCATCATGTACTGGGAGGAGAAAGCTACAGATGTTGAGAAGTCCTGCCTCCAACTCAGTACGCAACGCCTGGCTCTCCCTGATGGAGTGGAAAATCCCTGTCCAACAAGCGCTTTCTGAACAGATCCCAAAACCAGTGGGGCTAAAGATAAAGGAGAATAAATTCAAAATAGATACAGCCCACCTGGTGCTAAATGCAGACGCAAGATGACATCCATACCCAAAGAGCAGTAGTTAGGTGCCTATAAAACTTAAGGGACAATCAACCTGATTGAGAGGCAGTATAGCCGAATGGACGGAACGCTGGATTAGCAGTCAGAAGACCTGCCATTGACCTGCTCTGTGACTTTGGGCAAGACGCTTTCCCTCACTCTTTCCCCTCCCACTCTTTGCCTGCCTTGTCTATTTAGATTGTAAACTCCGGGTTATGATATGTTTCCACAGTGCCTAACACATGAGAGCCCTGAGCTCACCTGGTGTTACTGCAACACAAGTAATGACTAATAACAATATGGTCCTTTCAGAGTAACAGCCGTGTTAGTCTGTATTCGCAAAAAGAAAAGGAGTACTTGTGACACCTTAGAGACTAACCAATTTATTTGAGCATAAGCTTTCGTGAGCTACAGCTCACTTCATCAGATGCATACCATGGAAAATACAGAAGATGTTTTTATACACACATACCATGAAATATCACTACAAAAGGTTTTCTCTCCCCCCACCCCACTCTCCTGCTGGTAATAGGGTCCTGATATTCACAATGATTAAACCTGATATCTGACCAAGACAGTTCGGGTTAAACGCAGGTTTTAGCTCTTACTTGAGGATGCATCTTACCTCAAAGATGAGTGACTGGCATGCCCACCCTCGGAAGTTTGAATGTCCTAATTCAGCTTTTGCCATGATCCAGTGTGTTGAATAGCAAACACACTAATCTGTGTCACAGTTCTCGGAGAGCTCTGTCTGCCTGAAACGTACAAGGAGATCATATTGCTAGGGGAAGAAGAGGTGGGGTAGAGGCACACCTCAAGGGTGGTCCCAGCCTCTGGTGGACCCCCAATCTCAAGGCCAGACCTGCTGCTCCTCTCCAGGGGGAGGGAAATCCTTCCTCCTATTGAAGAGTTGGAAGTGTTTTCCTCCATCTGGCCCACTATTTTTAATCCTAGTATTATGATTGTGTTTATCGTGTTCAGTGGCATAATGTTTCCATGGCCTATAATGTGCAGGGAGTAAGACTAGAGGATCTAATGGTCTTTTCTGGCTTTAAAAAAATCTATGAACAGTCCCTGCTAACCTCCCAGATCCACCAAGAAAACATTTTGAATGCGAACACCACAGATCTCCTTTTAATCCCGTCTTTTAAGTTTACTGGCCAAGGCAACAGCCTTGTTCCAGAGGGTCACATGCTCCTGGCAGATCCATGAACTAATTTTCATCAAAGGACCCTCTGCAACATAAATATCTAGAAGGGCCATTTGCTGAGGAAATACTTTTGTTACTAATAAATGCTGGGAAACGAAAAGATCTGCATTAGCACTGCTAGAATGGAGAGCTGTTTTCAGCACGGTTAGAGGGGGTGATGGTCTCTGAATCCTTACCAGCCAGCCCGAAAGAAGCCAGACTGTCACTCTGAGAATTGCACACAAAAGTTGCACCAGTTTAACTAAAGTTGTGATTCTCTTTGGGAAGGGATGTGGTTGGTTTTTTTCCTCCTGTGAAAATAATTGATGAAAACTTTTGTTTGCTTTGAATTTTTTGGCGGGGGGTGGGTTCATTGTAAGTGTACAAGTGCAGACTACACAGATAGAACCAGTTTTTAACCAGTGTACGTGTGTCCATACAGGGGTTTGAACTGGTTTAACGACATTGGTTTTTAGACCCATTTAAGTAAAATACGTGCAACTGTTGTGTGTAGACAAGCCCCCACTCTGCTTCCTGCTGCCCCCTTGTGTTTGTGTGTGTGGGTAATCCATTCTTCCCCAGCCCCTGCTGTGCTGGCTGGTACCCCGGTGTGGGCAGAGCCACTCAGCCTTGCTCCCCTCCTCCTCCTGTTCCCCACACTCACCCTGGTGATGCAGGAAGGGGGGTAAAGTACTGGTCCCTCACTGGGCAGATGAGCAGGCCAAAAATGATCCATCCATGAAATTCACTAATTAACCAAAAGCTTTTGTAAGCCAGGAGCATGTTCACAAAGGGGTTTGTGTCTTTGGAGGTTTTTTTGTTTTTTTTTTATAAAACATTTCTGCTCTTCCCCCCCCAATATTGTTCCCTCTTCCTCCTTCCATTCTTCTATTGGAAAAAGTGGGGAAAGGTTCCTGTGTCCTCTCCCTTGCACGGAGGCTCGTGTGCACGGTTCCCCGTCCTCTCCCTTGCACGGAGGCTCGTGTGCACGGTTCCCCGTCCTCTCCCTTGCACGGAGGCTCATGTGCACGGTTCCCCTGTCCTCTCCCTTGCACGGAGGCGCGTGTGCACGGTTCCCCGTCCTCTCCCTTGCACGGAGGCTCGTGTGCACGGTTCCCCTGTCCTCCCCCTTGCACAGAGGCTCGTGTGCACAGTTCCCCTGTCCTCTCCCTTGCACGGAGGCTCGTGTGCACGGTTCCCCGTCCTCTCCCTTGCGCGGAGGCTCGTGTGCACGGTTCCCCTGTCCTCTCTCTTGGGCGGAGGCTCGTGTGCACGGTTCCCCGTCCTCTCCCTTGCACGGAGGCACGTGTGCACGGTTCCCCTGTCCTCTCCCTTGCACGGAGGCACGTGTGCACGGTTCCCTGTCCTCTCCCTTGCACTGAAGCTCGTGTGCACGGTTCCCTGTCCTCTCCCTTGCACGGAGGCACGTTTGCACGGTTCCCCTGTCCTCTCCCTTGCACGGAGGCTCGTGCGCACGGTTCCCCTGTCCTCTCCCTTGCACGGAGGCTCGTGCGCACGGTTCCCCGTCCTCTCCCTTGCACGGAGGCTCGTGCGCACGGTTCCCCGTCCTCTCTCTTGCACGGAGGCACGTTTGCACGGTTCCCCGTCCTCTCCCTTGCACGGAGGCTCGTGCGCACGGTTCCCCGTCCTCTCCCTTGCACGGAGGCTCGTGCGCACGGTTCCCCTGTCCTCTCCCTTGCACGGAGGCTCGTGCGCACGGTTCCCCTGTCCTCTCCCTTGCACGGAGGCTCGTGCGCACGGTTCCCCGTCCTCTCCCTTGCACGGAGGCTCGTGTGCACGGTTCCCCTGTCCTCTCTCTTGGGCGGAGGCTCGTGTGCACGGTTCCCCGTCCTCTCCCTTGCACGGAGGCACGTGTGCACGGTTCCCCTGTCCTCTCCCTTGCACGGAGGCACGTGTGCACGGTTCCCCTGTCCTCTCCCTTGCACTGAAGCTCGTGTGCACGGTTCCCTGTCCTCTCCCTTGCACGGAGGCACGTTTGCACGGTTCCCCTGTCCTCTCCCTTGCACGGAGGCTCGTGCGCACGGTTCCCCTGTCCTCTCCCTTGCACGGAGGCTCGTGCGCACGGTTCCCCGTCCTCTCTCTTGCACGGAGGCACGTTTGCACGGTTCCCCGTCCTCTCCCTTGCACGGAGGCTCGTGCGCACGGTTCCCCGTCCTCTCCCTTGCACGGAGGCTCGTGCGCACGGTTCCCCTGTCCTCTCCCTTGCACGGAGGCTCGTGCGCACGGTTCCCCTGTCCTCTCCCTTGCACGGAGGCTCGTGTGCACGGTTCCCCGTCCTCTCCCTTGCACGGAGGCTCGTGTGCACGGTTCCCTGTCCTCTCCCTTGCACGGAGGCTCGTGTGCACGGTTCCTCTGTCCTCTCCCTTGCGCGGAGGCTCGTGTGCACGGTTCCCCTGACCTCTCCCTTGCACGGAGGACGTGCACGTTCCCCTGTCCTCTCCCTTGCACGGAGGTCGTGTGCACTTCCCCATCCTCTCCCTTGCGCGGAGGTCGTGCGCACGGTCCCCTGTCCTCTCCCTTGCGCGGAGGCTCGTGTGCACGGTTCCCCGTCCTCTCCCTTGCGCGGAGGCTCGTGTGCACGGTTCCCCGTCCTCTCCCTGGCACGGAGGCTCGTGTGCACGGTTCCCTGTCGTCTCCCTTGCACGGAGGCTCGTGTGCACGGTTCCCTGTCCTCTCCCTTGCACGGAGGCTCGTGTGCATTCCCTGTCCTCTCCCTTGCGCGGAGGCTCGTGTGCACGGTTCCCCGTCCTCTCCCTTGCACGGAGACTCGTGTGCACGGTTCCCTGTCCTCTCCCTTGCACGGAGGCACGTGTGCACGGTTCCCCGTCCTCTCCCTTGCACGGAGGCTCGTGCGCACGGTTCCCCTGTCCTCTCCCTTGCACGGAGGCTCGTGTGCACGGTTCCCCGTCCTCTCCCTTGCACGGGCGCTCCGGCAATGCACGGTCCCCCCTTCCTTCCCCTCGCAGGGGGCTCGCGCGCCCGGCTCCCGTGTCCTCCCCCTTGCAGCGGGGCTCGCCCTACCCGCTATCCCGGCCCCTTCCCCGCCGGCCCCCACGGCCTGACCAGCCCCCCCCGCGCACGTGGGCACCGCGCCGCCCGCTCCGCCCCCGGCCGTGCGAGTGGCCGCCGCTGGCGCCGCCCTCTGCCTGCCCCGCCCGTGACATCAGCGCGGCTCCCCGGCCGGCCAGGGCCGGGCTGGCTGCGCTGGGGCGGGGCCGCTGCTCCTCCGCGCCGGGCACCGTGCGCCGCGGCCATCGCAGGGAGCAGCGCGCGGCCCCATTCGCATCGCGCCCGGGGCGGGGGTCAACGGGGAGTGGATTGCTCCGGAGTCGGGGCAGCTGGTGGGCTGTAAGTGGGGAGTAATCCGGGAGTGCGGGCTGGTGTAAACGGGGAGTGGATTGCTCCGGAGTCAGGGCAGCTGGTGGGCTGTAAGTGGGGAGTAATCCGGGAGTGCGGGGGGGGGGGAGGGGGCTGGTGTAAACGGGGAGTGGATTGCTCCGGAGTCAGGGCAGCTGGTGGGCTGTAAGTGGGGAGTAATCCGGGAGTGCGGGCTGGTGTAAACGGGGAGTGGATTGCTCCGGAGTCAGGGCAGCTGGTGGGCTGTAAAGCGGGGAGTAATCCGGGAGTGCGGGCTGGTGTAAACGGGGAGTGGATTGCTCCGGAGTCAGGGCAGCTGGTGGGCTGTAAATGGGGAGTAATCCGAGAGTGCGGGCTGGTGTAAACGGGGAGTGGATTGCTCCGGAGTCAGGGCAGCTAGTGGGCTGTAAGTGGGGAATAATCGGGGAGTGCGGGCTGGTGTAAACGGGGAGTGGATTGTGGAGAGGGGGAGTGGGTGAGTGGGGGGATGGGGAGTGGGGTGGTGTAAAGGGGGGGGGATTGCTCTGGAGTCAGGGCAGCTGGTGGGCTGTAAATGGGGAGTAATCCGAGAGTGCGGGCTGGTGTAAACGGGGAGTGGATTGCTCCGGAGTCAGGGCAGCTAGTGGGCTGTAAGTGGGGAATAATCGGGGAGTGCGGGCTGGTGTAAACGGGGAGTGGATTGCTCTGGAGTCAGGGCAGCTGGTGGGCTGTAAGTGGGGAATAATCGGGGAGTGCGGGCTGGTGTAAACGGGGAGTGGATTGCTCCGGAGTCAGGGCAGCTGGTGGGCTGTAAATGGGGAAGAAACTCCTGGAGAGTCTGGGCCAGTGTAAAGGGTGCGTGTGTGTGACTGGTGCAGTTAGTGCTGCTGCTGTGGAGTGAATGGGGACTGAAGTCCCTGGGGTCAGGGCTGGTGTAAACAGGGAGGTGACTTAGAGCACCCCCCAGGCTGTCAGCCAGAGGGGAGTGGGGCGCTCTGGGGTGGTGTGTCTCTGGGAGGGTCAAACTCCATGTTTTGGTCCATCCCCCCCCCCCCAGCCTCCTGTCATGTGAGGCTTGTCTTGGGGCTTTAGCAAATGAAACCCAAGGGGGTGGGGGGCGTCAGCTGGGTTTGGGGGCTGCCCCGGGGAACATTGCTTTCTCAGTCCTCAAAGTTCCCCTTTCCTGCACGCTTCAGTGGCTTGTCCATGTTTTAAAGCAGTTTTATTCCTGGTCATTTATGTCTGAAGCATGAGGGTGGGTCTCCTCTTGGCATCCCCTGCCAGCCCCTGAGCTCAGGGACAGGATCTTCCCTTAAAGAGGGATTTGGGAGGTAACTTGCACTGTGGTGGTCTTGGGTTTATTACTGTCATGGGGAGATGGGGGAGGGGAGCAGCTGCATCGAAAGCCCTGCCTGTTTTCTGGGCTTCACACCAGAAATCTTCATTGGGGAAGGAGGAATGAGAGAGGTTTTCCCAGGCTCTGCTTGAGCTAAACCTGCATGTGGAAGTACTGCCAAAGAGTAATGCAGCATTATATTAAACTTTTATCACTGGTCAGCCGTGGTCTGGTTCAATACACAATATCACTGTGTTCCTGGTTATGCTCTACTTTGTGTCATAAAAATTAAGGAGAACTAAGTTTATTGGTATTTGCTGTTTAAAGGGGTAAAAGATTAAATCAGTTCAGCTAATAGCATTTTGAGTGCAACAGTAAACCAACGGGGGGGGGAGAAACTCCGACATAGTTTCCCTGAAATCAAATCCATTTACACCAGCCGAGGATCTGCTGAGGGGTCTCTAAAACATAGTCTGTTTCTTTATCAAAGGCAATTTCTCTGTTCAGAGGTTTGCTTTGTTTTGGTATCCTCAGATGGAGGGGAGGTCTTGAATTTTCAAAGGATGATTTGTTTTGTTGTTCACAGCCTGTGTGAGGTAACAACACCTTTATACAAAAATATACTCTTAAATCCTTATTATTTCGTCAAATTAAATGGCATTGTATGGAGACAGAAACCGTATTAGGCTGTTATTGAGGTTCTTTGTATTCTCTTGGGAAACACTGGTTTTAAGTTGCCTCCAAAGCATTCGTTTGTGTAAAGGAAATGTAAAAACGTTAGTTTTCAGACAGGGAAAACGGGTTTCTCATACTTGTGGAATATTATGTTTTTGAAGGACCTAAAACTTCTGTAGGAGTGCTGGAATCTTAAAGCATCCCAATTGCTAGCCAACACCGTACAGATGCTGGGTGTGTGTGTGTCATCTTCCTCATCAATAAATGTTACGACAGCAGTTGTTGAGTAACTTAACTCTGCCAAACTTCTACTGTATATAACAGAGGAAGCTCTTTCCACTAGTTCTCTTAAAACACTTGTGCAGTCCTCCAATAGGAAAGTGAGCCTGATATGGTACATAGTCAGTTCTGTAGATCTGTGTCTTTTAGAAAACTAAGCTACATTTTTAACATACATTGTAAAATGATGATCGTTCTGTGTGGAAGGTCCCTTAGCATTCATTTCCTGTGGTTATCCTTTGTAGCTAAGGGGTGCTTTACAAATATTGATGAACAGTCTAACCCCAAAGAGAGAGAGGAGCCGTGCTGCCCAGTGGATGGAGTACAGGACTGAGAGTCAGGAGAACTAGGTTCTATTCCCAGCCCTGCCACTGGCCTGCTGGGTGACCTTGGGCAAGTCATTTCACCTCTGTGACTCACTCCCCTGTCCCGATGACTGTCTTGTCTGTTTAAACTGAGAGGTTGTAGCAGCAGGGTCTCTCTGTCCCTGTTTGTACATAGCACTGTGGGGCTTCAGTCTCAGTTGGGGTTTTGAGGTGCTGCTGTTACACACAAAGCCCTGGCTGGATAGATTTAGTTGGGATTGGTCCTGCTTTGAGCAGGGGGTTGGACTAGATGACCTCCTGAGGTCCCTTCCAACCCTGATATTCTATGATTCTATAGTAATAAAAAGTTGGCATTTTGTGAAGGCCCTAAAATGACTCAGGTTATTTCTGCACTTTGCATTTCTGAACAGACAAAGCAAGTTCCAAGTGTCCGTACAATAGGGTCTGGCTCTTAAAAAACTGGCTCACTGTTCCCAGATATTGTCCATTCTGTTAAGAAACCCCAACCTCTTGTCAAGACCAAACTTCCTGTGATTGCTCCTTTGGTCAAGCAGAGCCTAGGCACACTTTCCATCAGATCTCACTGTCATGGGAAGCTGCTAAGACTGTTGCCAAGCCCATAATCATGTGCTGTTTGTGACTAATAATTAATTGCATCTAGTTCTCTTTTGGTATCAGTTGGACAACAGGAAACACTGACCACGAAGGACCCTTCAATAACAACAGATGGTGCCGTAGTTGTTTCTAAAATGCAATGTGGATTTGGAAACAAGTGCTAATCCTCTCTTTATGATGGCTCTGACCCTTGTTATGTCTTACATCTGATCAGTTCAGGCCTAAGATTGAGAGGGCAGGTCTGATTTCTTGCTTATCTCAGTGGTTCAGTATTGTGACATCCCCAGTATCCCTGCTTTCTAGGCTGTTGCACTGAACGTGTCCGAGAAGCTGCTTTTCCATGGCTCCTGCTTGATCCAGCATTTCAGACAGTTACATTCTGCAGGACCTGCGTTAGCCTGGGAAATGGAGCCTTGCCTGTAGTTTTACTTGGTAGCAAGATGTTTCATCTCAGGAGTGACGTTTGCACTTCAGATGTTTGTGTTGGAGGTGAATAAATAACAGATCCTAAATGTGGAGTCGGATGGTGTTGGTGGAGCTCTCAGTCCTTCTCAGAAGTTTGGGGTGCACATTTGGAAGTTACCTTGGAAGCTTCCCCTGATCCTGGAATTTGGAAACTTTAAAAAATGGTTTGAAGACTTTAGTCTATTTCCACCCCTCCCCTTTGTTTCTCAGAACTCGATCTATTAAAACACCAAATTTAAAAATGTCATTCGTAGAAGGGGGAACAGAAAGCCCCCTCAGAACTGTGGACAAAAAGACTTCTTAAGGGTCCCTGGAATAGCAGAGAGATGCCTACAGCTGTTCATCTGGTGGCGTTCCCTCTTTGCTTCCCTCCATGGCTGGGTGCTTTGCACTAAATTGCTGGGTATTCATATTGCAAGCAGTGGGAGTTTTGTATTCAAGGCCCAAAGCAAACAGTAAACGCAGGGACAAAGTGGGAACTGCTGAAATTTGTCATCGGAGCCTGAAGTTGTTGCCTGTCAGGGTGTGCTACCTGGCTACTCCTGCATTGGGCTTTGGGCGTGGGGAAGAGGTGAGGTCTGTGGGTTAGGGGTGGAGGGACAGGGTGGGTAGGATTTGCCATAGAGAGGTTACATGTTGTTGTGGTTATCTATCTAGCACCAGACTAATACTAGCTGCTTTACCGATAAGTAGAATAGACACAATCTCTCCCCTGAAGAGCTCACTAAGGGCCTGCACCAGAGCCCACTGGAGTCAGCTGGAATTCTTCAATTCACTTCAGCGGGCTTTGGCTCCTGTCCTAATTACAGGCATGATCCGAGCAGCCCCGGAAAGAATGGGCTGCAATAATATGGCTGTGGGGCTCTGTGCATTTTTATACCTATTTCTTGATGATCTTATTATACATTAAATATGGTGCGTGCACCCTGCCCAGCCACCTTCCATGTTTCTGCTGACCCGCTTCCGTGGAGCAGGAGTTGTTCCACTTCCGTCTGTGCCAGAGCTCCCATCTGATGACCATCCCTTCGATTCGATTACCACAGCAGTGTGGAGTGGGCAGGGATGGCTCTTCCCCTAACAAAGGGGGGGTTTGTATAAGGACAGGCTGATCTTTTTTCATGTTTCTTGATGTGATGCTCCCGGAGCCGGCACACTGAGCCAGACTTCCCGCATGATGCAGTGAGTCTGTCCTTGTTGGCTTGGCTGTTGCCGCTTCTGTGCGGCAGGGTGTCATGGAGTGCGGTAGGCGTGTGGATGACGCTCCACGCGTTGCTTGAAATATAACTTGCTTGCTAAATGCACTGGCAAAACGAGAG